AATTAATTTATTTTAAACTTAAGCACTAAAACTTAGATATACAATAAGAAAAGAAACATTATAAACTTAAATCCTAAAACAAATACTAAATAAAAGGAAAAAACCATTGCTGTGTGCACAGCAGAATGTAAAAGAAGATTCCAAATATAGAGCAATAAAATTTCCATTTCAAGAAAACCTATATAATAAATACTATACATTGTATTCAGAGCTGTCCATCTTTTCTTTGATTCCTTGCAAGTTTTCTTTTGTTCTCTGCTGTGCACTTTTCCTTTTTTTTCTTTTTTCCCTTTCCTCCACCCCTCCTCCAAGAAGGTTACAATTAAGCATGGACATATATATGTATGTGTGTGTCTGTGTGTATACACACATATACACGAACATATATGGACACACACGTACACATACATACATACACTTCCATACACATACATATACTTAGATATCTATAATTATACTCATACGTAGACTTATACATTCATATGCATCTATATAATATCGTACTATACTTGTCCTCTGTTTTTCTGAGGGTGGATAACATCTTCCTTTATAAATAATTTATGAGTCTTTCCATATTTTTCTAAGTCCACCAAACTCATCACTTCTTATACCACAGCAATATTCCAATGTTATACTGTCCAGTCATTTTAAATATTCTAAAACAATATTGATTAATATGGCTGGCATATAATATAGCTTCCCTATTTTTCTCTTTTGATTAATTTTAGCTTTGACTTTGTCTGAGACCATGATTACTACCCCTGCCTTTTTTTTCACTAATAAATTCTACTCCTGATCTTTGTTTTATGTTTCCTATCCTTCCTGACTCCTCTGCTTTACTTCTACCTGCTCCTTTGCCCTTTTATTACTTAACCTACCCCATCTCCAAAGATCTCTCCTTTATCCCCTCTTCCCTCCCTACCCCCTTAGTCTTTTATTTCTTTCTGAATTTGGAAGACTTTTATGGCTTATACACACACACACACGTATGTGTATATATCTATATCTATATTTATATCTATATCTATATCTATCTATATCTATATCTATATCTATATCTATATCTATATCTATGTCTATGTCTATGTCTATGTCTATGTCTATGTCTATGTCTATGTCTATGTCTATGTCTATCTATATCTATATCTATATCTATATCTATATCTAATCTGTTGTTCCCGCTTTAACTCATTCCTGCTTTAACCTATTCCTGATGAGAGTAGGGTTCCAGAACCACCAGCTCTCCTTTCCCATCTAATTCCTGTTTCAATTCTTCTCATACCTCATTTGCATAATATAATTAATCTTTTTAGCTTTTCCTAGACAGTTTACTTTTTAGTATCACATCATACTCAGCTGTACCCCAGTCCTTCTTTCAAACTACCCAATTACTAATAACAATCTTAGACATACAATTTACATTTCCTCATATAAAAAGTAAATTGTCTTTATTGAGTCTCTTGAAATTAGTCTTTGATGTTTATCTTATATTTCTCTTGGATCTTACATCTCAAAATTTCTATTAATTTCAGGTCTTTTTGCAACAAAATCCTGAAAGTCTGGCAGTTCATTGAATGCCCATCTTGTTGCTGTTGTTGTTGTTCAAGATTATGCTTAACTTTGCTGGGTGTGATATTTTTGGCCCTTTGATACATAGTGTTCCAAGACCTTCGGTCTTTTAGTGTTGCCACTGCTAGGTCTTGTGTGATTCTAATTGTGGCTTTGCCATATTTGAATTGTTTTTTCTTTGTTGCTTATAATATTTTATCCTTTAGTGGTCTCAGAATCTATCCATGATATTTTTGTAGGTTTTTCTCATAGGATCTCTTTCAGGTGGTGATTGGTTGATTTTTTTTTTCTATTTCTACTTACCTCTCTTGTTCTAACACTGCAGGACAATTTTCTTTAATTATTTCTTGTATTATTATATATCATATTGTTTGTAATGCATATTGTATATTGTAAGGTTCTTTTTTTTGTATCATAACTGTCAGGTAGGCAGATTATTCTTATGTTTTCTCTTCTTGATTTATTCTCCAGATCAGTTATTTTTCTTATGAGATGTTTCAATTTCTCTTCTATTTTTACATTCTTTATATTTTGTTTTGTTATTTCTTGGTCTCTTATAACTTCACTGGTTTCTCCTTGCCCAATTATAATTTTCAAGGAGTCATTTTCTTCCTTAAGATTCTGGATCTCCCTTTCTAACTGGTTGACTTTCTTTTCATAACCTTCTTGTTTTTCTTGGATTGTTCTCATTTAAAAAAATTCCTCAATCTCTCTCATTTGATTTTTAACATCTTTTTAAAGTTCTTCTGTGAATTCTTTTTGAGCAGGTGACCATTTTACATTATCCTTTGGGGTAGGAGAGGCTTTTTTGTTTCAGTATCCTCCTCTGAAGATGAACCTTGGTCTTCTCTATTCCCACAGTAACTTTCTATGGTTGGGATCTTTCTCCTTTGCCTATTCATTTAGAAAAATTATAGCAGCTTATTATTGTGATTATCTCTAGTTCTGGGTATTGGGGGGTGGTTCCTCTGGCCTCAGATCCTCCTTCAGTTCTCTCCTCTGCATTGGAACTGAAACCAGGAACTCTGCTCTCCTGTAAGTGCCTACAGTCAGTGGCTAACTGATTCACCACTTCTGCACTCACTGGGCATGTGCTGGTTCATTCTCACCCAGGGCCAAGTCTTGGCCATACAGCTGAGTCTGGCATCCCTTGTCCCTTACCAGCAAAAGTTCCCTAAATCTTCCCCCATTCAGATGCTTGACTCTCCACACTGTCCAGGAGGTGAAAGTTCCTGCAGCTGGGGCCAAGGCTACCTCTCAGCCCAGTTAGCCTTAGGGCTCACCACTTTCTGTTTCAGCAGAACTAACCTGGGAGTATTTACATTCCACAAGGACCAATCCTCAGTCCTGGGATTTTTCTTCTCTAGTTGACCCAGGAGGACTGCTGTTCTGCCCCAACTCTTGTTTATTTTTAACACTCTGTGTTTGCCTTGAGGTTCTATTTTGTCTTATTTCTGGAGGAAATCTGGAGAGTTTGGAATTTTCTGACCTACTCTGCCATCTTCCCAGAATCCTCTCTGATTCATAACATTTAAGGAGTCATCTCTACAGGGACATTATTCTGGCTTAGTCATACTGCATCACATGAAAATAAAGAAAATAATTATGCAGAACAAGTTGACACTGAAAATACATTTTGGAATATCTAGTCAGAGCTGGAACTTTTCCTAAAAATGTTACTTCTATTAGTCATCAACAAAAGGTAAATAAATGAGTTAAAACATTGGGTAGACAGTTGAAGAAGAGCTGGGGTTTTTTTCCCTTCAGCCATTTGCAATTTCTTGGGGGTGTACTGCTATCATGGAATTGTAATGATTAAAAAAGTTCTGAGAGACATAGTTTCTGGGTAATTTAATCATTTTGTTAATAAGGCCAGCATGTTTATTAATGAAAGGATGGTTATTTGGCCATCTCTCTTAGACTGAAGACTTCTCATGTCAGTGGATTCACAGTTTACATGCCTTTGAAAGAGTAGATATTCCTGAGGGGTGGTAATCAACTCTGAATGGTTAACAATTAATGAGAAAATGAATATTACAATGAGAGAGTGGGCCATATTACAGTGGGGGGTCTTGGTGTACATGACTTGGATCACCCAAATCTTGATCAGAGAGATTTATCAATTTCCATATCATCTGACAAAAGGGAGAATAAACACTTCCCCAGACCTGTCTGAGCAAGCACAATGAGCGGGAATGCACTCGTTAGACCAAACTTAGAATATTTTTTACTCTCTGATTACATCTTGGTCTAGATAAATCTCTGCCTAAGATTTCCCACACTGGTTGGTTTTTCTGGATGAGAAAGTAGAAAAGGAGAAAAACTTTGGTTCTAATACAATAATTAGCTATTAAATACAAGAGAGAAATACTTATTTCTCACAGAATGAGCTCCAGAGGCAGGCTACCAAAGCCTACATCTCCAACAGCTACTTGAGAGTAGGGGTCCAGAAACTTTGTCAAAGACATACATGGCATCCCTAAGCTTCAAATTGGCAATGCATCCCTTTTCAAGGCTTTGCCTTGGTATTTGTTGACTTGAAAATTAAAGCGAAGTTTCTAGAAAAAGCCTATACTAGTGGCAAATTGGAGGTGGCCAGAAGATAGATAGTACGTGGAAGCTAGGTAGCAAAGTGGATAGAGGGACAGTCCTAGAGTCAAGAAGATGAGTTCAAATCTGGCCTCAGACACTTACTAACTGTGTGACGCTGGACAAGTCACTTAACCCTGTTTGCCTCAGTTTCCTCATCTGTAAAATGAACTGGAGAAGGAAATGACAAACCTCTCCAGTATCTTTGCCAAGAAAACTCCAAATGGGGTCATGAAGAGCTGGATATGACTGAAACAACTGAATGACAACAAAGAAGACAGGACATTTAAAAATGGAATAAGATCTTCAAAAGAAAGTCTTAATTTTGTACCCATGACTAATTCTAACATATACTAGCAATCAGAGCAAAATACAGCTGAGAATTTCTGGTTTATCACCTCAAAGATGTCTATGATTTCCAGTTTCTAGTACTAAATCAGTAACAAAATGTAAAGAAGATAAAAATTATTTTTTCTTTAGCAAACCACTATTTTAAAAAATTCATTTTTAGATTCTGGGCAGTAAAAAGTTTTTTTCTTTCTTGGAATTGTTAAGTATTGAATATTTCTAGTGGACAAATCTTCTTCAAAAACAAGTTGTACATAAACAGGCTTTTGTGTGTAGGAGCTGAGGATCCAGACAGGTTGGTTTGAATTAGTGCCTTGCAATTATTAAGATTAAAGCCATTTACTTATATTAACTCTTCAGTGTCTTTCAGGTATGAATCTTCCAGAATGTGATTCTGACCTCTTGATAGATCTTTCTGAACAGTATCTCTTCCAAGAACAAGTAAGAAATTGTTTTTGGCAATGAGATTTACTGCAGAGGCATCTTGAAGTAGATGTGCTATCTTCATTTTGGAGGATTCTCCAGAGTTTTGGGGATGCAGAGCAAAATTGCTTCTTTACAGGTTTGCAGCTATTATTTTCTTCATTATGTTTTTCTAGAAAATGGTGTAAGATGCAAAAATTCTCAGTTATTTGTTGCATTTGTACTTCTTGAAAGACAAGCTTAAAAACATTCTCATAGCTGAGATTAGCCTTAGTAGGGGAAAGAGCAGCAGTTTCCCTCACGCTGGGTAAACTATCAGACTGCAGACAACCGGGAAAGGTTGGGGCGTATCCATGGCAGTATATAGATCGCTTTCCCGTCCATTTCCTGTGCTATCGACCTGCTTCAGAATTTCCAGGGTGTTGAAAGCGTGAGTCCTGTTGGAAGCCTCGCTGAAGCGTTCAAAGTCTCCCTAGGAGCTATTGCATTTTATGGAAGCCAAGCAGCTCCCTTCAGAAATGCCCGTTTCCCATTCAGTTGCATTTCTTGCTTTGCTTTCCAGGCATAGCAGAACGGAGTGGTCTATTTTCACAGCTACCTCATCGCAACCCCTGCTCCCAGGTACATAAATTGCCGCAGTTCCCTTGCGGGGGGAGGGGGTGTTGATTTGCTGACAGAAACCCCTTCCACCACTTCCACCAGGTTGCTGAGAGAGGCCCCACTGGCAATCTCCCGTCCTCCACGACTTCTTGCCTTGAGGTGCTGGTCCTGCATTTTTAGCAAGGAAATATTGGGGGGAAATTAAAAAAAACAACCAAAGAGCAGTTAGAGGTGCCCATCCTGAGGGGCCATTCACTTCTTTCTTCGCCAGGAAGGAGGAAGTGACAACAGAGTTCGGTGGCTACACACTTTGGGGATCCCGCCTTTCCATTCAGGGACCTGCCCAGGGGCCCTCTTGCATTCTGGCCCCAAAGAAAACACATTCAGAATTAGACCGGGAAGACACAGCGACATTAGAGGGCACAAATAGGGGGAGATGGGACGCTGGGGGTGCGGGGCTGGGAAGAAGGTCACCCTGGCATGGGGGAGAGAGAAGGGAGGAGGAGGAAGAGCATGAAGCTTTCTTCTTATTTATCCTTGACAGTATTATATATTTTTTCTTGATACCACCTTATTTTCTAGGTATTTGTAATACAGATGGCATAAATTGGCATAAAACTTGTAAAAGCTATTAATAACTCACTCTTCTCCCATTTAGCTCCAGACAGAACAAATAGATCTTAGAAAAGGGGAGAGAGATGAGTCAAGTGACAAGAAAGAGAAAGCAACAAACTTTAATAAGACTTCCCAAATTTCCTTTGATTCTGTCAAGGAACTCAGAACAGGGAAGGTGCAATGTCTCCAGCCTTTGGGAGGTGCTGAGGAATATAGACTAGAGGCTCCTGGTAAGAACAGAAATAATTACCTATCTATGCTGATCATAAATCTAGAGCTAGATGGGACCCCTGAGGCCATCTAGGCCAAACCCCCTTAATTTTACATATAAGGAAACAGAGGCCCAGGAAAGTTAAGTGACTTGGCTAAGTACAGAAAGATAGCAAGTATCAGAGGCAAGGTTAGAACCCAGGTCTTTCGACTCTGGGGTGACTTCCATCATATCATGATGTGAACTGACTGGTTGTAGGTAGTGCGAAGGATGTAAAATAGATAGGCCTTTTATGCACTCTTTCCACCTTCTCTCCCATTCTGCCTTCCTTGTGGGTAGAGAGGCAGGGAGCAGTTCTCTGTTCTTCCTCTTTTCTAGTAGAGGTTGATGGAAGGCAGCGGAGCAAGTCTGTCCTTGTCTCTGATAGGCAGAGAGCCAAGCAGCTGCCCAAGGCCTTCCATTTCTGCCTCTCCCTTCCCCCTAACTTCTTCCCCTCATTTCTACCTCGATCTCTTTCCTGCCTGGTTTGGAGCTGGAGAGCCATAGGGACTGATATTAAGATAGGACCACCAGGGGGCAGAAGAGAGAGGTAAATTCTATCCTATTGGAAGCAGGGTAGCCTTTTAGCAGGGGTGTGCTGGAGCCAGCTCAGACTAGCCCAGGAGCTGTTCACTGTTAAATCTTCAGCATGAGCATTTATACCTCAGAAATTGGCAAATGCTACAAATCAGGGCTTTAGTTACTGTTTTGTAGCTTAAGAAAGTAAAGAAGAAAATGTTAATAATGTAGTTTAAATTTTTTTTTTGTTTTGGCTAGACACACACACAGCTAGTAACTGTTATGCATCTGAGGCCAGATTTGAACTCAGGTCCTTCTGAATCCAGGACCAGTGCTCTATCCACTGCATCACTTAGCTGCCCCAATGTAGTTTAAATTTAAAAACGTGTCATGAATACATTCCTCCCTTCCCCCCGCCCCACTTACTCACTTATCCATTTACCAGCACACCCATGCTTTAGGGCTGCTGTTAAAAAGTTTAACCCCTTCTCCACTTGGAATCATGCTAGACGTATACTCCAACAACATCATTGACAAAAAGAAAGGCCCGCTAGGTACTGAAATATTTATAGTAGCATTTATTATGGTAGCAAAAAACTAGGAACAAAAGCAGATGCCCATCAGTTGGGGAATGGTTAATTTAAACTAATTGTGGTACATGAACTTGATGGAATGTTAATGTACTATAAAAAATGAAAACTGTGATGAATATAGAGAAGCATGGAAACATGAACTGATGTAACATCAAGTAAAAAGAGCTAAGAAAGAAACATACACAATGACAAGTGTAAATTAAAGTAACCACAAAATAATTGAAGATAAATATGCAAAATTGCAAATAACAAGCTTGTCCCCAAGGAAGAGATGTGAGAAGACAATTCCTCTTCCTCCTTTGCATAGGTTGGGGCTTGGCTCCAAGGTGTTGGATGTTGAAATATCATCAGATTTTTTTCAGTATGTCCAATATATATATATTTTTCAATATATTTCAAATAATTTTCAATATATTTGATACATTTTCAACAATATATTGAATTTTGAATATTTCAGTACTTGATATATTTAATATATTGATATTTCCTAATACCAGTTTAGATAACTGAAAATATTTTTAAAAATTGAAAACATATTCAATATATCAAACACATTGAATATGTTGGATATATTCAATTTTTCAATATTCAATATATTTTAATAACATATTGATATTTGATATTTCAATATTCAATATACATTTAATATGTTGATATTTTAAAATACTAATGTCAATAATTGAAAATATTCCATCTATTCAATTTTTCAATATTCAATATATTGATCAGTTTTGCTGATTTTCTTTCCCTTTTAAAAAAGACTTTTGTATAGGAGATGACTCTTTGGGAGGAATGGAGGAAGCTTTAGGCTTACAGAAAGCCAAAAGTTATCAATGAAAATTCATTTTAAAAAGAATGCTGCTCCCAATTTACAGATTTTCATTGAATTAAATGGGAAGGGTTTCATCACAAGAAGGTGATGATTTTCAGCCTCGGGAGGCAGCATTATGATAAAGAAAAATAGTGCTGAATTTGAAGTGATTAGACATGAGTTTTTATTGCAGGTTGGCCTCTTACTACCTGTATGACACTGGGCAAGTCACTTGGTAGAAAGTCCACGTGCTTAAAAGATCTTGGATCTCTCTTTCCAGCTGTGAAGCAAATGTGTCCCCTTATTCGATGGGACACCACCAGCCTAGCATCCCATTATATATTGCTTAAAGAACCTGAGATTTTCAAGATGGGAAGGGGGCTTTGTCAGAAATACTCCAAAAATCCCTTCCCAGAGCAGTGCCCTTAGCAAATCAGGTTGAGGATGTGAACAAAGAGTTGTAGAAGGTTTGCAATGGCCCAAGGTGACAAAATATGGGGGTAATCACTATATGAAAGACTACAGGAAGATGGACACACTAATGCATTTTTGTTGGAGCTATAAATTGACCCAATCATTCTAGAAGGTAATTTAGAATGATGGTTAAAAGAATCATTAAAATGTCTACACTTTTTGACTCAGAGATCCATCTGTTAGGCAAATACTCTAAAGAGGTTAAGGATAGGATGAAAGGCCCCATATAGACTGAAATCTTCATGGCAATACCTTTTGTACTAGCCAAGAACTAGATGCTCATGGATAAGGGAATCATTAAATACCTTGTAGTTGTGTGGTTTGTCCTTCATTCTTGAAGAGGACTGTGACATCAGGGAGATGATGACTTGACTTGCCATTGACATTGATTTGAATGAGGGAAGGCTGTGCAGAGTTACCAGCCTCACCTTCTCCTCCACAGCCATCTGGGTCCAATGACCAGATAGATCAGGATGACTGGAGATGGCCCAAGATGCAGTGGGAGACCTTGACCCTTTTAAGCTAAGGTCTTTTCAGGTTCTTGCTTTGAGTGAGGCAATGCCCATTCAGTGAATAGGCCTCTTTAAGAAGTGAGTTGAGGGATGGCCCCTTTAATCAAGTCAATCTCCCTGATGTCATAACCTTGTAGTATGTGAATATGGTGGAACATTACTGGACTATAAGATAGATGACCATGAAGGATTCAGAGAATAAGAACAGTGATATGAAGCAGAGTAAAACAGCCAGTTAGTCAGTCAGTAAACATTTATGAAGTACCTATATGTGCCAGGCACTGTGCTAATTGTTGGGGATGCAAATACAAATTTTAAAAAATGATCTTTGTTCTCAATGAGCTTACCATCTAATGGGGGATGGTAACACACAAAGTATGTAACTGGTGGAAATGGAGAAATTAGGAAAAATACGTAACGACTATCACAATGTAAATGGAAAGAACAAAATAATTCAAAACTAAACTCTCTATATATAACGACCAAGCTTAGCCCTAGGGAGAGATGAGAAAATGAAACCTCCCTCCCTTCTTTGCGTAAGTGGAGTACTATGAGTGTGGAAAGTTGCCCTCATTTGTTGTGTGGGTTAGTTTTGCTGAACTGGTTCTTACCCCCCACTCCGCCACACCATCTCCCCATCATTTCTTTTCTAGTCTTTGTTACAAGGAATGGATTGATGGGCAAGGGATAAAGTAGGTATGCATTTATAAATGGTTATATAAAAACAAAAAGTAGAAATAAAAATGGGGAGAAAGATTGGTGTCC